AAAAAAAAAAAAAAAAAAGTATTGAAATAAGAGAAAGACATCTGCAATGCGGCATCTTCCATTATTTAAAATTCTAACATTCTTTTCCTCACAATTTTTTGCATTAATTTTTAAAACTTTATCTGTCCTGATTACTGAGACTTGTGGCTTACATCTACCTTTATATTTGGTGGGGGAGAGGGCAGGGTCTTCCTATGTAGTTGAGGCTGTGCCTGAACTCACTATGTAGCCCAAGCTGGCCTCAAACTCACAGCAAACCTCCTGTCTCAGCCTCCTGAGTGCTGGGACTACAGGTGCACACCACCATGCCCGCTATCCCTACATTTTGAGCCCAAAATGATGCCTTCACTTACCTCTCACTAGTCCCAGCCCTGCCACTGATCTAAATTTCCTTGCAGGGCATCTGTTAACCCCCAAAGTAACACTAGACCAAAGTTAGTATCCTCTGACAAAGAACCAAGATATCTAATCATACTCAGAAAATAGAGAGGGAACAAATCCATGTTTCAGGGAAGTATTTAAGAATGGCTTTGTTCCTCTCCCACCGAATGAACAGAAAGAACAATACTTAAAAGAAATTTAGGAAGCTAAAAAAAGAACCTTTAAAGTCCAGTAAGTTGGGTTTCTCTCCCATTGTTTACACAATACTTGTAGTTTGCAAAACTGTCTTTAACTAAATCCTAAATATATGTCCTTTCAATTACCAACACTATAGATAACATAAAATGAAAAGTATTCAGTAATTACATTTGTTCCTTAATATCTCAATTCAATACTTGAAAAAGCACAAGGTAATAAAATAAAAAGTTTGTACAGAAGAAGTCACCTGACTAATTTGAAGTTCCCTTTGGTCCCTGGAATGTCTGTAGGAAACTCATCAGGTGTACCACTTCCACATGACCTATAGCATTCTGGTCGAGGACAACTTGGGTCATCAAGTTTATAAATCTAAAAGTTTCAATGACAAATAAGATAGGGATTTGTTACCTGCACAATAGTGAAAGTTAAATAATTTCTGGTTTCACAGAACACAGCTTACCTTAGCATTAGCATATCCAAGCTTGATTGTAATGTTTCTTTCTAGTTCATTTTTGAACCTCACAGTGTGAACTCCAGAAATGGCTTTTACAACTGTGGATTTCCCATGAGCTACATGACCGATGGTACCTATAGACAACGTACAAAAAAATCAACTCACATGAATTCGATTACACCAAATATTTTTTCAGATACTGGTTTTTTTTTTGTTTCTTTTTTTTTTTTAAAAAAAGGGTCTCGCTATGCAGTTCAGACTGGCCTTGAGCTCACTTTGTGGCCCAGGCTGGTCTCGAACTCGCAACGATTCTCCTGCCTCAGCCTCCTGAGTGCTGGGATTACAGTGTGCGCTACCACGCCCGGCTCCAAATACTGTTAAGAGTAGAAAACTCAAAGGCATAACTCACTGTAAATATCAATATAAAACCAACAGTGACTTGAATTTTTCCTCCTATATATCCTTTCCCACTAAAAATTTGTTTTGATACAGAATAGAACTTTCCATGTAATTAACAATCTTATATTTAAAAACCATATTAAGCATATGGGTGTGATGATGGGCACTTGTAATCCCAGCCTTCTGGGAGGCTGAGGAAGGAAGATGGAAAGTTCCAGTCCTACCTGGACAATTTAGCAAGATCTTCTCTCAAAAATAAAAAGGGCTGAGGCTGTAGCTCAGTGGTGGATTGCTTGCTGAGCACATGCAAATACCTCCTTCGCCCCCTTGCCATCTCCAGTACAAGGAAAAAAACAAAGAAAAGAAACATTGTAATATACAGACTAAAGTAAGGAGGCAGCTTGAGCTACAAAAGTGAGTTTAAGGGCAGCATAAACTGCATAGTGAAACCTCCTCTCAAAATGAAAAAGAAACAAAAGAGGTATGAAAAAGCTGGGCATGGTAGTCCACACCTGTAATCCCAGCACTTGGGTGGCTGAGCAAGGAGGATCACCGAGAGTTCAAGGCTTAGCCTGAACTGCAGAGACCCTGTCTCAAAAAAAAGGTATGAGAAGCCCTGACACAACAAAAAGGAATTCTTGAAAACAGTAAAACAACCCGTTTACTTATAGTAATGCTATCTAGCACGGCACATAATTTATAGCATTTTCACATCCTCATGGTAGAGGATTTTTTTTTTTGAAACATCTCATTATGTTGCCCAGGCTGGACTCAAACTTACAACCTGCCTTAGCTCCCAAGTAGCTGGGATTATAAACGTGCACCATTGCGCCTGGGTGAATTTTATTTTTATCTAACTTTTACTGAACTATTTGTAGACTCAAAATGCCTAAAATTTACACTCAACATAACCTCTCCTCTAATGTTCTAGGTGCCAATTAAGGAAGAAAAAAAACCTTAATCATAGCTTCTACATTAAATAAAATTTTTATAAACTGCCCTTTCAGTAATCCTGTGTGACAAGTAGAGCTACATTTTCAGCACTTCCTTCAACTTCTGCCACAGGATTACATACTGCTTTATGCTATTAAATGTTCCATGTGTCTGTATCTTTTCTTCTCCTGTAAGCTGTACACAGCAGCGCTTTCTTTCACCCTGCCTGTTATGGTTGATACATTGTACCAACTTGAGTCCGGAGGCTTGCTTACATCCTGGGGGGAAAAGAACATGCCCTTCCTGTTCCGGGATGTTGTGCATTGTGTTAATTTGAGTTTTGAAGGTTAACTATGTGACTGAACAGCCGGGTCCTTACTTTGTATCATCCTGAGCCTAGGTAGGAGGACCTGGGCACGGAGATGACGTGAGTGCTAGGCGCCCCTGCATGGGGGTAGCCCGCTTGCAGTACAAGGGAGGAAAACAGGCTTGTTTCCCCGCCTTGTGCTCTTGCTGCTTTTGCTGTCTTCTGCCCGTGAAGTGCTGCACTTGAGCCATATAACCCTGCCTAGGAGCCGCCGGTTACAGACTGAAACCTCTGCAAACTGTAAGCTAAAGAAACCCTTCCTTCCTTAATTTAGGGCGTTGGGTATTTAGTGAGTTAGTTAGTTAGTTAGTATTTTTGAGAGAGGGTCTGGCTATGCAGTTCAGGCTGGCCTAGAACTCGCAATGATGCTCCTGCCTCAGCCTCCCGAGTGCTGGGATTATAGGTGTGCGCCCCCATGCCCGGTAGGGCGTTGGGTTTTATGTGTCAGCAATGGGAGAAAAGTTGAAAGATCTTTTTTTTTTTTTTTGTTTTTCTCCGGTACCGGGAACCGAACTCACGACCTTGCGCTTGCCAGGCAGGCGCTTTTGCCGCTGAGCTAAATCCCCAGCCCTTTTTTTTTTAGGTTTTTTCTCCGGTACCGGGAACCGAACTCACGACCTTGCGCTTGCCAGGCAGGCGCTTTTGCCGCTGAGCTAAATCCCCAGCCCTTTTTTTTTTAGGTTTTTTCTCCGGTACCGGGAACTGAACTCCCGACCTTGCGCTTGCCAGGCAGGCGCTTTTGCCGCTGAGCTAAATCCCCAGCCCGAGAAAAGTAATCAAACAGCGCCACAAAAAAAAAAAAAAAAAAATCTACTAGATGGTTTGATGCCGAGGGCTCATAAACAAAGTTCTGCTTTTGTTGTTATCTTTGTTATTTTCTGGGCACACAGTCTTACTGTGATGTCCAGGGTGCCCTCAAACTCTTGGGTTCCAAGGACCCTCCTGCCCCAGGCTCCCTAGGAGCTGGGACTACAGGTGTGCGGTGAGCTTCAACATCTATTCTTGAAAATTTAAATCCTCAATTATTACGCAAAAGGAGAGTACTTAGAAACCGGGTCTCCACGTTCCTTGTACCTTACCTATATTGATTGTGGCCTGTCTGCTGATAACCTCATGCGAAAGTGGCGTCAACTTGGTAACATCCTGCAGCAAAATATATTTACTTTGAAACGTTGTACACAGGCAAAGCCGAACTTTTCCCTCGAGCCGCGTTTGCTGTGCGCCGGCCGCGGCCGCCGGTACAGCTCCCCTCGTGGGAAGCAGCTTCCCCGCGGGCGGTTGGGGGCTCCGCCGGCAGTGCGGGCCGAGAAGCCCCCCGGCCGCCCCCCGGCCGCGGAGGGGAGGCGCCCAGCCCCGGAGCCCCGCTGCGCCCCCGCTGTCCCGCGCGGAAGGCAGCGGGGACACCCTGAGCCCAGACCCGCACGGGCGGAGACCTCGCTGGCTCTAACAGCTAGGCCTGGCCGAATCCCAGGCGCCCCGGAGCCGCGCGAGCACCCGCACGCCCGGCCAGCGCCGTGGCGTAAGGACAGGCGGCTTCGGCGCCCGGCTCCCTCCCCGCCATGCTCCCGGCACCGCGCCACTGCCCGGGCCCGACGCCGTCCCGGAGGCTCGGCCGTCCCTACTCCAGAGCTCCCTGCAGCCTCTCGGCGCGAAACCTTACCAAAGTGGCAAGATCCTGGCGAGAAAGGTGCGGCTGCCCCAGAGTCACGCCAGCCTCGCCCCCCGCCATCTTGTCCGGAGAGGAAGGAAGTCACTGAGGCCGCCGCCTGACGGGACAAAGGCCCCCGTGGACCGGGCGGAAGGTGGGGGCGGGGAGGCCGACCAGAGCCCGGGCCTGAAAAAAGGGATGACGGGTGCAGCCGCGGCCGCACTGTCCGGAGTTCTCCTTGCTTGGAGTTGTTCAGAGACTCTGTGCAGGCTTATTTAAAAACACCGTGCGAACATTCGGGATGTCTCTGTTACAGATTTGTTAGATACTTGAGCAGGCAACGCTGAGGGCAGCCCCGTAAAAGGCCCCATGCGAGGTGGGTAAGGCCGCGCGACACGCGCCTGGCAAGGGAGAAACCACTTCCATTTCCTGGGGGGTGGCCCAAGGAGTTTCTCGGAATCTAGGGCTCTTAGGGTGTAAAAGTAGAAAGAGGGGATATCCCATATTAATTAATTTATTTCCGATTTCAATAATTTAACAAGTCGAGGTCGGCTTGGGGCCCTCTTTGGCCTGCGCTGGACTCCGGGCCGGGAGGAAGCCTCCGGATGAGTTGGGCGCGCTCGTGTCGCCGCACGGTCGCCGGCGGGCGTGGGGGAGGGCGCCCTCGCGTGGCAATTTAGCGAATGGCTCCGCGGTACGGGGCTGCCTAAAGGGCCATGGGCCCTTGTAATGAGTGTGTTTAGAATGTTTTGCAACAGGTGGAAGCTAGGTGTCGTGAGTGTCCAGAGTTCTTTTTTTTTGTTCTTCGGTTTGTTTTGTCCTTAGGCGAGATCCAAGAAAACTCACTTCTTCAATGGAAAGATCATCTTAGGAGATCACTATTGGAGGGAATGGGGTGAAAAAATAATTTTTTATACTTTTTGTTGAGACAGGGTCTCACTATGTAGTTCAAGCAGGCCTTGAATTCACTGTGTAGCCCAGGCTGGCCTGGAACTCATGGCAACCCTCCTGCCTCAGCCTCCAGAGT